CGCCTTTCCCCCCCCCCCCCACCCCCTCACGACGCGAGGGGCGCCCCGCGACTCACGGGAATCCGGAGCGCCCCGAGGAAGCTGATGGCTTTGGGCTCCTCGGCCGGCTCCTTGGGGCTGTCGGAGCGACCGGCGCTGCTCTGGCCCGAGGTGCTCAGCGGCCCCTCGTTGGAGGTGACCGCTTCGGGATCCTTCTTGTTGGAGGTGACCCCCCCAGCGTCCTCCTCCTCAGAGCCCGCCTGAAAGCAAGCCAAAGGCGGGAGATGTGGCTCTCGTTGCTGGAAGGGGCTGAAACTTCAGATTTGTGGCCGGGCCGTGACCCACAGGAGGCTCACAGCCGGACAGCAACGAGCGTCCTCCGTGAGGACTGAACATCGCTCTAATTTTGGCTGTTACGACCCAGCACCCCCGTTGTCCCGCTGTAGACTGAGCCACCACCCAGCCCAGGACCAGCCCCTTGGGAATCGGGGCGACTCACGTGATGCAGAGGTGGGCTGCAGCCGACGTCCTCGGGATCTGCCGGGGGAAAGGAGATCCCGTGAGAGCCTGGGCCGGCCCTGCCTCTCCAGCATCACACGCCGCAGGGGAGAGACGCGGGGCTGGGCCCCCCCCGGGGCTGGCCTGCATCTCTGGGTACCCGCTTCCCGGCAGCGAAAAACCCCGGTAAAATCCCAAAGGGCTTCCCAAATCTTTCCTAGAAAATTCAGGCTGAGAGGAGCGAGCGGTACAGGGGCTGAGCCTGCCTGGGTGAGCCCGACGGATGCTGAGCAGCCCCGTGGCAGTCGGGTCCGCAGCCCCGCTTGCCCCAAGGTGGAAATAAGTATTTGGGGTTGCCAAAAATGCTTGGGGACGGGTAAGGAGAGAGATTGCCCCGTTCCTCTTGGCATTAGCGCTGCAGCCCGGATCGCGCCACTCACACTCCACGAGGAAGAAGAAGCAGATGATGCCCACGGCGGCGATGATGATGCCAGGCACGATGAAGGACAGGCCCCAGGCGGAGGAAACCCAGACGCCGGCGATGAGTGACCCTAAGATGTTGCCGACGGAGGTGTGCGAGTTCCAGATGCCCATGATCAAACCCCTCCTGGCGGGGACAGAGCCGGGGTCGGCGTCACCGGGGCCACCAGGGACCGGGACTGGGGTGGGACGCACCAGAGAAACACTCACTTTCCCTTTCCAAACCAGTTCCCGACGCACGTCACGACAGAGGGCCAGCCCGTCGTCTGCACCAGCCCGTTGCAGACCTGGCGAGAGAGAGGCAGCGTCGGCGCCCGGCGAGCGCCGGCGTGGTCCATGGAGCGCAGCCCCCACGCTGTTTCGGGTAGCCGGGCTCAACAATAGCCACCCCCATCCCAAAGCTGTCGAGAAACTCCATTTGGGGTTGGTTTTTTTCCTGCTGGGGCAATCCCGGAGCCGCTTACATCATTCCCATGGCTAAACTGGGAGCGGCTGGTGTTGCCAAACTGGTGGCGCCCACGCCACACGCAACCGGGTTTTATAGGGAGAGGAAATGCCCGGCGTTCTGCTGCTCGGAAACTGGGCCACCCCAGTCCCCGAAAACTGCCGAAAAACCAGGATGAGGCCATGGTGGTAAAATCCAGAAGTGGGGCATCCTCCGGCGCGGACGCACCTGCATGATGATGAAGTACCAGAGGACGTGGATGTCCCAGAAGTAGCCGAGGCCGAAGAGCGCGGTGAAGAGCCCGCTCAGCACCATCCCCCCTGACAGGTAGTAGCGCAGGGGGAGGCGCTCCCCAAAAATGCCGCTGGGGAGAGAAGGAAGAGCGCGGACACGGGTGATGCCGCTGACGGGTGTTACCGCACCGAGCCGGTGCCCGAACCCCAAGCAGATCCCGGCTGCTTTCCCATTAGCACGACCCCATCCCGATGGAAACCAGTTTCCTGGTGGACTGGTGCAAACTGGTGTGCGGAGAGGGGAGCAAAGGACCCGGGTACCTGATAAACATCCCGATGGCGTAGGCCACCAGGAAGGCGTTATCCAGCGCCCCAAAAAGCTCCTTGTAGTTGTCCCCATCTGGAAAGGAAAGATTAGGGCCACCTCAGCTGGGCCCCCATCTTGTTTTCCCTCCCCATGGCCGCTGACTTGTCCCCGTCCCCA